CGCGGCCTGGCCATCCTTTATTTGGGCTCCGTGGGCGGAACCCTGTACGCGGCTCTCGGGCTCCGAAGTACGCTGCTCACCGTGCTGGGAGCCGTGGTCCAGCTGGGAGCCGGAGGAGCCTACTTCTTTTCCTCGTTGCCTGGCGGAGCTGCCGGGTTGCGCTATGTCGGCAGCTTCCTGGGTAGCTTCGTGCGACGAAGTGTCTCTAAGGCTCTTCCAGTGTGAGTTGATCTGTCGTCGGAAGTCCAGCTGCTGGACTTGGGAAGACTGCTCCGTGAGAAGGCACCCGGCCCGCTTTTCGAAGCAGTGCGCAGAGCAGGATATGCAGGCTGCATCCCAGGGATCGTGAAAGTTTCTTCTGCAACTGTTTTGTGAATTCCAGGAGACAAGGAGATAATCCAGTTGCCTCACACTGTCTTACTGCTGAGAAGTAGTAGTAAAACAAAGGATGTGACTTAAAGCTGAACTACCGTGGCAGGTAGAAGTAGCCAAAGGATAATGCCTGTTTTTGCAGGCTCCGTGTGTTCCTCTAGCCATTGCACAAACATGCCCCACTAACCATTTTTAAAATGTACAACCTCATTTCTCTCATCCTCAGACCATAGAGAGGCAGCTAATGTTTCCTTTATGTATTCCAGTTATAGATGTGTTTTCTCTCTTCTTACACAATTTTGGGTGGATGTGATTAGGATGCTTTGTCAACAGTTTAATTTATGGTGTTGTTGGGCTGGGATTTGTCCAGCTGCTATTGGCCTTTGGGCTGGTGTGATTACAACTTCTCCCCTCCAGTCAGTGGCACTGCCCTGTGTGGCCATTTTGGCCTGGGCTGCAGAACAGAGCTGCATTAGTTGAGGTCATAGCTGAACGTAAAAATATATATTGCCTGTAAAGTTCTGTTCCTATAGAATAGTGAAATTAGCATGTAAAGCCATACACATGAACAGATTTTCTATACATGTTCTGGAATCCCATTTCTCAGAATTTTGCTCTTTGTTGATCATTCCTACCTGCTTCATCTGTGCCTCTCCTCTGCACTTTTTAGCTCCATTCACCAGAGAGTGTTCCTGACAACACTTCTGCACCTGTAACTTACTTCTGACCAGCCCTTTTGAAAAAAACAACACTAAACTTGTGTCCAAATAATAGCTTGGCTGGCAGCATGTAGAAGAGGTGGCAATTCTTAA